ATTGTGTCAATATTTTGTTATCTCCAATCAAATGAGAGGACCTCACCATGACAAAATTGTCAGTGACCTACATTTGTCAGGTACTTCTCATTATTAGTTGTTGAGGCCAGCTGTGAAATCTAAATTGTCCACCAGTCACTAGCGGTAGCAATGACCTGTACAGGAGGTGAATTGGAAATTATTATACCAAATAATTGTTAAACCATTTGAAAATTGTAGTTAGCCCCAATTTTGCTTTGATTGTTACAGACATGCTATATAGAGTCTAATTTTTATTCACAAAAATATAACTCTATGATATGATACGATTAGAATATTAATTCCTAAAACAATGATACGATAGATAAGATTACCTTTATTGTGATCCCACAGTGGGGAAATCGCAATGTTTATAACAAGGCAGCAAAGTGGATAGGAGAAGTATAATAAAACAGGTATATAAAAACAGTAAAGAGTAGCGGAAATAGGAATCACTTAATCAGCCTATGTACCAGAGAAAAAAACAGTAAAGGATTAATCACAAACTAATCCACAACAACAGATAACACAAATAGTAGCAGCAGTTGCACATGGGCAATAGATTGCACAGTGAATATGGTATAGTAATGGTGAAGTTGGTTTTCTTTGTATGTACACACAGCTACCCAGGTTTATTCCTGTTTCTTGTCTCTACAGCCGGTAGTAAAATTGCAGAACAACAGAGGAAACAACAAATACTCTTACACCAGGTAAATGTTAACACTGACTGTATATGTGTCAGAGAGACAGTGTTTGATATTTGAAGAGCCACATGCTGCGACAGCAAACTCTCACGTGTTTCATGTGTTCACTTCACCTTCACTTTTTGGATTCTGAGTGGAAAGAGTTTAATAATCTTCTCAGTTGATGATTCCTTCCTCTTTGTCTCTCCCTGTGACCAGCAACTCTGATGATAACCTGCTGAAGAACATCGAACTGTTTGACAAACTTGTGCTACGATTTAATGGCCGCGTCCTGTTTGTCAAAGATGTGCTTGGGGATGAGATCTGCTGTTGGTCTTTCTATGGTGAAGGCCGCAAGATTGCCGAAGTATGCTGCACTTCCATTGTCTATGCCACAGAGAAGAAGCAGACCAAAGTAAGCAGGACGTAATGTGCACACAGATTCCTTTAAGCAGTGGATTCCAGGAACTATGGCTATTCGCTTTCTGACTGTTAGTTGGACAACAGTTAGTTAGCTTAGCATAGCTTAGCACAAAGATAAAGCTAGCTAGCCTGGCTCTGTCTAACAAAATCCACCACCAGCTCCTCTAAAGATCTCTATCAACACTAATCTGGGACAAAGCAAAGGCTTGCTGCTTCCCCCCTTTTCTGGTCATTATGCTAAGCTAAGCTAACCAGCTGTTGGCTGGAACTGTATTATATAAATTATAGCACATAAAAGGGTTATAAAATGTCTTTCGATCTCGTTATTTTACTGTTATGTTATTCACATTACCTTTAATTAGAAACAGAGCACATGTTGGTCATATAGCTGTACTTAAAGAACCTCACTCTCGTTCCAAGCTTGTAGGAGAAACTGTGGTTGCCATGATAACGTAAACAACTCTGTCTAGAGCCAGTGTTTGGTTTGTCCGTTTTGAGCTATAAAAGAAACATGGCGGACTCCGTAGAAGACTCAAATGACATACATACCTATGAATATTATATTCAGTTTCTGTCAGTGGATCCTCCTTAATGTTGCACACTGGACATATATTTGACTGTCAACTCATTCTGTTGTACGTAACAGATTCTTGTGGTCAGAGCAAGAAAATACACTTAAAGGTCCAGAGTGTAACATTTTTTGCCGCCACCGTAGTTTCTCCTACACGCTTAAAACGGGAGAGAGGCGAGGGCTGTGTAATCTGCACACTGGTCTTTTAAATTACATGCTAGTATTTTTTTTCAACCAGCATTTCTGCTTTAACAGTTAGTAGAACAAAATCTTAACTAAACTATATTGTCCACAGCAGGTACATCGTGAGCGACTCCCCACTAAACTTGAATATCTGTGTCATTAGGTTGAGTTTCCTGAGGCACGAATCTTTGAAGAAACCCTAAATATCCTCATTTATGAGAACGGCAGAGGATCTGGTCCAGGAGGCTTACACCTTTTAGATTCAAGAGGCTCAGGGTCATCACTAGGGGCTGGCCAATCGGAGGAAGAGGGTGCTGTGGGAGGCGACAGACGAGTAAGACGGATCCACGTGAGGAGGCATATAATGCATGATGAAAGAGGGCACGGTCAGCAAACTGTGTATAAGGACTAATAATGTGAAAACACAAGACATGGGAGAGTGACTTAATGTATGTTGATTTTCTGTTGGATGCTAGCGGAATGAAAGATGCCCTTGATCTTAGCAATAGCTAGGTAGTTAGTCATTTCAATAAATGTCTTTAGACAGAAATGTAAGGGTTGATGACTGAAGTAAGAGTTGTTTGGACATGAAAAATGTTTACAAGAAAACAAATTGTGTACATCATTTAAATAGGAAATATGCAAATTACCTGGGACATGAAACTGGTGTACTTTGCAAATGTTAAGGCACCTCCTGCAAGTTACTGAATGGGCCTCAAAACCCAACTCCAACTCCACATGTGGATTTAATTCCTAGAGCAGGCAGTCACCTTTCAATGTGGGTGTTATGGTGATATGCACTGGCACCCTCCTCCGTGTTTGACTTGTAGGAAACACTGTGTCAGGCTGTTTGTTCAGGTTGTGAAACATCTGTTGCCTTTTCATAAGTTGGGCTGATATTTGCTGCCTGACAGTAATGAACAGAGGATGGTCAAGTTTAGCTTAGATATGTTAACACTGGAGTAAACCTGAGTAGCCATTTTTAGTGAGGTTGTAAAATGAATGAGATTGTTGAGCAGCTCCATTTTCTTTATTTAAATTATTACTGCTGTTGCTTCAAGATGTTTTTTATTAATTAATTTATGAACCTAATTTATTGTTTGGTATTTAACGTATTGTACGCAATCTTTGTGTTAACTAGTGCTCTATTGAGTTTTAATTTTTGGAATGATATGATGCACTCTTTAGCACACGTCAGATTTTGAATTTACTCCTGTAAATGACTAAATAGTGAACTTACATTTCAGTTTAATGTTTCAAGAGGAACCGTGACCATTTCTTTCATTGTGTACTTTATTCTGAGCCATGATTTTTCACTTTCGCTTTATATCTTATACCAAACCACTGAAATTTGCTCAAAGTAATTGGCCGTACGGTGACGATAAAGGTAAATAATACTGGGTTGTATTTTTATTTCCCTCAGGGAGAGGATAAGTATTTTCTTTGTAATATTCACCGGTGTCTTGTGTAAATTTAATCACTCTGAATACTGAAAAAACATTGAATGAGAGCAATATGTATCTCAGACCCTTTATAAAATCACCTTGGAATACTTTAAAATATGCACTAATATAACTTCCGTCCAACAGTGGTCATGGGAATGTTCTGAATAAATTACTTATGAAATCCAACTCAAGTTTTTTGGTCTCATTTTTTTCCTTCTTTCCTAAATATAATTTAAAAAATGGACTCCAATGCATACATTCAGAAACAAATAGAAGTTACCCACAGGATATTTATTACTGTGCTTACTTGATATGCCCCAAAACATGTCATTTATTTATCCTTGTGGTTCAGACCTTCACAACTTCATCTGGTTTTCAAGTGGGGCCCCCCCCTCAACTGTGCTAAGTCAACTGACCCACAGCGTCTCAGAGGGGCTCGACAGTAGTCCTGGAATCACCCCCTTGGCCCCTCAGATCTACTTGTCACTGCCCTCCCTCTCCTCTGCCAGTCTGGTTGCGCCATTGTTCAGTTCTTCCAGCCATCTGGATGTTGTCTCCGCCCACCTGGTGATATCCACAACCAATCTCTGGTTTGCGGTTCCTTTGACCTCCCAGTGCTCCAAGCTTACGCTCATGTACCTCCTCAGTCCTTTCCTCTGAGGGTACCGTCAGCTCTGTTGTAGTTCCTGACCAGAGTATATTGTCAACTTGAGTTTCCTTCCAAAGTGAACTCCTATTTCACAGTCATTTGCTGTAGTATTGCAGAAGGAGATCTGGGCAGCAGAGGAAGGGGGTGGTGGCTATGAGGCAGCAGGGCAGTTGGGTGGTGCAGTGTTCGAGGAAGATCTCTGGGATGGAGGGAGATCAAGAATATGGAGGGGCACTGGATCAAGTTTCTGCTCTGTTCCGTCTACAATGTGCAAAGGTGGAGACTTAGTGAGAATCCTGTTATTTGCTGTGTGGGAGACCAGACAACCAGGAACACGTCCTGTCATAATTTCCATTTCATCATTTCTAAAGTATTTAACAGTTTAAAAGGAAGGTACAACCAAATCTAATGAAAGGAAACATGATGGACAACAGAGGAGGAAAAACTACAGGCAATAAAGGCAGATTCAATTCTAAACTTTTTCTAAGTATTTAGATAAATGTAATTGTGTTCGTTTATGAAATATGTTTATTCATGACAGATAGAAGAATATAGGTAATCTTTTAGAAACATTTGTGAAAAACACATTACCCCTTTAAAATCCTTACATGTATAATAAAATATTAGGGTCTTAAAAATATACTATGACCTCTTTTGCATAAAGGTTGGAAATTAAAATCTCACCAAAATTTAGGAAAAGAGATAAACGAATTCGGTAATTCAGTTTAATTTGTACAAAAAGTACAAGCTGTCAAAGGTTTTATAGTTTATATTGTGAAGGGGCGTGGCGCGTGCGTAACGTCACTTCCGCGTACGTCCAGGGCGCCAAAAAAAGAAAAACCACCGCAGTTTGAAATGATGGCGACCGAGAAAGAGACGACCAGTCTCCGCAGGTTTGTGTGCGGTCAACTCCGAGATGAGCCAGACCTCAGGTACTGTTGTTTGTTAACGTCACTGTTTATTGTGTGTTTATATTTACTGTCAGGGGTTCACAGGTAACTCAGTTCTAACGTTAACATACAGGCAGATAACAGTAAAACCCTCTAGCTTACCTCTTTAAACACTGCTTTCCAATGGCCACTCAAACCAGCTGCATTCACTGTAACGGGAATGTGCCACTTACTACTGTACTGAAGACACACACACACACCACACACACACACCAACACACACACACACACAGCAGCACACAGGTGCCCAGGTTAATGTTTAAGGTAGTCCCATTTTGTTAAAAGATAAGATGTTCCTTTATTGAGCCCCCTTAGGAGAAATTCACAGTGAAGTATTTGTGTGAGTGACAGCTGCCAAGCAGTGGTATTTGCCATCATAGTAGTGTATGAGCTAACGATTGGAAGTTGTATGTTTCAGTGGAACAAGAGTATGGTGTCCCAGTGTTTGTACATTTTATGCTCAAAGTGCATCTAGTAATGTGCAAGCCTCTCGTTTGTGTAAGTAGAATAAAGTTTTTATTGACTGTAGAGAACTTACAAACTCCCAGTTTCCTGCACAAAATAAAGTTTTGTTTGGCCATTTTGTTTTTACAATCTTAATTCCAGCACACTGACCTTGCGGATTTTGAAAAAGCGATATCTGGCCCATGTACGATGTGAATCATTAAGTCCAGGCCAGAGACATTTCATTAAACAGGTGGTTCAAGAGGAGCTGATGAAAATGCAGGTACCTGAGTAATACCGTTTCTTTACGTGTTTTAGATTTTTTCTTTTTTTAGGGGCGTAACTTTTATTGCTGTAGTCATTACTGTCATCATCATTTTTTCCTGCTAGGATAATGACAACATTAAAAGTGAGTTGGAGACCAAAAAGCTCCAAAACAAAAGGAAGAGAGTAAAAGAAAATGATGAGGCCATAAGTGGGGCAGAAGATGAAGTTAAATCCACGGCAAAGAAATCTCGTCAGTCAAGATCATCGTCAGGTAAATTAGATGACCTGTGATTTTAATAATGTATAGCATGTTCTAGTTAGAAGTTACTTAATGTCATTATCATCATTAACAACAGGACTTTAAGCAAGAATTGTTTTCAGATTGATTAAATTGTTTTGTCTGAAATAAATGTCCATTAGTGCTTGGTGATGATATCAGAGGTCTTCTTTTGTCTGAGTAATTGTCCAAAACCCACGTACTTTCACTTTACAGTGATATAAATAGAGAAATGCAGAAAATCCTCATATGAGAAGCTAAAACCAACAAATGTTTGGTGATTGGGCTAAAAAAAAGTGACAAACGTCTCATCAAAATAGTTAATTAAATGTATGGTCAAAGGTTTTGGAGGATCTGCTGGAAGAAATGAAATATAATATTCATAGTTGAATGAGCTGATTTATCTACAGAGGAGCAGGTCCTCTTCTAAGGAGTCTGCCACGTTGAACCGCCATGTTTCTGCAGTAGTTCAGAACGAATAAACTAAACACAGGCTGTAGACAGGGCCTTTGGTGAGTTTCGTGGCCACCATAGTTTCTCTTACACACTTCACACCATGTTCTCATTCCCAGATCGTCAAATACCAACGGGAGCAGTGTTTCAATCTGCAACTTCACAGCTAGATGCCAAATCCTACACACTGGTCCTTTTAACGTCCTCGTACAAGTAGCATTGTTTAGCGTAGGTTAAGATGATCACTACTATATATTCGGCATTTTTCATAAAAGACTATACTAATAGTCATTGGACCACAGCTATGGTCCAGGCAGGTCAGCTGTTGGTTGGCATACCACCCATTGAACGCAGTTGCCATTTCAGATTATTTCACTCAGTCAGTACCTACGTTACCTACCTGACCATGTCTGTGTGAGGTTTGTTCATTAAGTTTGGTTGCTCTGCTGTAACCCATGAAATGTTGTCTTTTCTTTGCGTGGGTAATGACAGAATCTGAAGATAAAGAGGACTGCAAAACAGGAAGTGGGGAAGGTAAGGAGGAAGAGCAAATTACGTCTGACTCCGAGGATGAAGAGCAAGCAGTGCAAAAGTCAAATGGAAACGGTAAACCGCAGATAAACAGTGACGACTCTAAAGACGAGGAAAAGTCTGAAAAAGAAGAGAATGAGCGTGACTGTGATGACAGTCCAAAAGAAATGGTGAAGAAGAGAGAAAGTACTTCAAAGAACGGAAAGACAGGAAGTGGTAATGCAAGTGAAGGAAAGAAAACACCACAGAGTGATAAAGAAAATGAAACTGACACAGACAAAATCAATGCTACTGACTCCTCAGACAACAGACAAGGTGCCTATGCAAACTTTATACTAAACTGTATATCCCATACATGAATGCCTATTCGTTTATATTGTCACTGTTTTTTTATGACTTGATATGACTTTCTGGTTTATTATGCAGAAAAAAACGTCTTGGGAGAAAAGAAAGATAACGATCCTGACTCTGACTCATCATCACTTCCCTCTGTGGAGGGTGAACATCATAGTGAGAAGGAAAATACACAAGATAAAAAGAAGAAGAAAACCGTGAAAAAAAAGGAGCGTGGCAAAAGTCAAAAGGCGAGTCCATTAGTGATGTTATGAATCAAAGTCAGTCCGAATCGGAAGAATCAAGGTTGTAAAGAATTTAAGTCTTAAAAATCTTTATTTTGAATTAAATTGTTACATTTCCAGTCTTTTACACGTAGAAAAAAATGCTGAAACATTTTTTTTTTGTCTACAAGTGCCCAATTCTTTATCCTTCATGTTGAGTCAGTTCAAGTGTATTTTTAGAGCGCATTGAAATACATTAGAGATGTACAATAAACGTCACAACCTCTTCAGTCCTCTGATTTCTCCTGCAGGATGACAACAGAGCAGTTTTGAGGCTCAAACGCTACATCGCTCTCTGTGGTGTGAAGAAGAACTACAAGAAGCTCCTCGATGGCTGTCGCTCTGTGCGCTCCAAGGTGGCTGTTCTGAAGAAGGAGCTGGAAGATATTGGTGTCCACGGTCAGTGGGAATACATTCACCTTTTAACAGATCATACATTCTGGGCGGCTGAAAACTGCAAATTCCTTTTTTTATATTTGCCTTTAAGTAATAATGTGTGTATGTGTTTTTTAAACAGGCAATCCATCTATTGAGAAATGCAAAAAAGTCAGAATGAAGAGAGAGGAAGATGAGGAACTAGTTGATATTGATGTCAGCAACATTATTGCCACACAAGGTAACTGTTTGTCGTTTTTCTTGGTTGTTTACATCCATTACTATATGCTTTTTCATTTTTTTTGGAAGAAAACCGTTATTATGTAGTTTAAAGTAGCCAAGCAGAGTTGTTAACTTGTTCATTGAAAAACAAACAAACACCCAGTTGCTTTAAATACTGTCATTTTTTGAATCCACATGAATCTGTACCAACCCAAAATACTAATGGATGCAAATGCAAAAAAATTTGAAAATTTATTTTTTTCTTGTGCATATCTCTTATCAATACTTGATTGTCATTGTAGTGTAGGGTTTGGGTGACATGTTAAAATTTTCCAGCCAGCCACCATCAGTCCAGTGACTGATTGCTGATGCAATAGCTCGCTCCACAGCTGTTTTTCTTCTCACTTGTTTTCGGCTCAATGTGTATACTGCACTGCTGAGCAGCAGCTCTCATTCTTCGGTGGTAGACCATTCAATTTACCAACTAAATAAATAAATAAAATAGTCAAAGTGACGGAGTCAGCAGATAGCTGATATATTTGTCCAATCACCCAACCCTATTACAGTGTTAACAGAAAAGACCAATTTACACATCACTTAATATGAATTCTTGAAAAGCAAACCAATATAAATGCATTGGGCTTGGAAAGTCTAAGTTCTAGAAAAAGATTGTGCAAACATTGTTAATGTAATGCATATGTACATGGCAGGTAAGCACAGTTAGCAGTGTAAAAATGGCTTTTACATGCACTTTAAGATGTCCTATAACCTGGTTGGGTCAAGAAGTGCACCTATAGTAATGTTATTATTGCAACTATTTGAAGTGATTGAGTCATGAGTATTGTTTATCACTTTATAGCACACACAAAATATGAAAATGTTGATTAATGACACCCACTAATGTGGGTACCTCTCTCAGGTCGACCTAAGCGCAGAGCCTCAGCCTGGCAGGAACAACACGACGCTCCGTCCTCTCCATATGTGCGCACTCTGAACTCTGGCTCTGATAGTGATCAGGAACATGATACACAGAGAGGGCGCAGAAGAACAACAGACTGGGCCAACCTGCAGGGGATCATCAGTGATGATGCAGACAGCGACTGACCGGGAAATACATTACTTTGATTGTGAGGATTATAATACAAAATATTTCTAAAAACCTATTTTCAGAAAAATATCAGTGGAGAGTTGATCAATTATTGTTTCATGTACATTTAGTATGTTGTATTTCAAATAAAAGTATTTTTCCTGGTGTATAAAAACATGTGCTGATTCACTATTGATTCTCTAGCTGAATGAAATAACTATATAACGTTATAAACTATATATAAAAGTATTCGCCTGAACAATTTTCTCTGTTCCCATGGAAACGTGTTGACTGCGTCACATTCCCGGAACTAAGGTTAGTAAGCTCAGAGATAGACGGAATATCTTGCCGACGGACTGGTCCTACGAGGTAAAGAGTCGTCCTGCGTCCCTACAGGTCAAGCGATAGTTGGTGTTATTTACTTTGTTAATTATGAATACCCGTACAGTTGTCGTGTGTTTGTGTGCGGCAGCATTATGCCACACCGAACAGACCTTTGCTCATGAACATGTCAGTGTTTGTTCTCAGTCAGACGACGGCTGGATACCACATAGCTGCATGCATGTGACCCTCAACTCGACTGTCACAGAGGTATCTCAATAACAGATTATAATAGAAAAACTACTTTAATATCTATGCTGCATCGAAATAGCTTAAAGTCGAGGTTAATATTTTGCTTAAACTCTTACAAATTGTTATATTATCAAATCTCTGAAAATGAATACATTATGAGCACCAGGTGTTACTGCTACTCTGTCCATCAGAAGTTGCACTAAATAACCTTTCTTTTCTAAATTAAATTGAAAACACACTGAATCCATTATATTCTCTTAAATCTGATGTACTTAGGCCCTATACCACACACTTTATACACGTTTTATACAGGAATGGATGATGACACACCAGACGAGGCCTCTGCGGAGCTCAGGACCAGGCACCTCGGAGGATGGGGTGTTGCTCAGATAGCTGCTGGCACTGGGCTTGCTGTATATGCTATGTGGGTGGGAATCCTCCAGCCTGGCTTCCGAAGAGTCCCCTTGAAGCTGCAGGTATAGTTTAAGCTTCATAACATTTTGAATTGATGTGACTCTTCTTGTACCCATTGAACCTGTAAAGTGATCGGAGAAACACTTTTTATTGGAAGCTCTTTACGTTTTCTTCCAGGTCCCTTATACTCCTGCCAGCAAAGCTCAAGTAGGCAATGTAATGACATTGCTGAGAGGTCGAAAGGGAGGCCTCGTGGACTTGGGATCTGGTGATGGTCGTATTGTAAGTATAATCAAGATATTTGGGTTCTTTTTTTCTTGCACTTGTGAGCAATGGATTTTAACTCGGGTAGTTTTTAATCCTTAAGGTCTTGGAAGCCCATCTGCAGAGTTTCGCTCCTTCTGTTGGTTATGAGCTCAACCCCTGGCTTGTTCGCCTGGCCCGCTTTTATGCGTGGAGGGCAGGTCATCATGAAAAAGTGTCGTACCGAAGGGAAGATCTCTGGAAGGTTTGTCACTTGTGTTATGGCATTAGTAACACACCTGTTCAAATTTGCAAACTGAAGTTTCTCCAGCCACCATTAAATGAGTATTTCCAAATATTATTGTAACTGATCTTGGCAACAAGAAATAGTGACACAGTCAAACATCTTTATGAATAAACACACCACAGAAAAAATATTTGTCTATTTACCACCTGCCTTTTATCTCATCACAGGTCGACTTGACAAAATGCAAGAATGTCACAGTGTTTTTGGCTCCTAGCGTGGTGAGTAATACATTAATATACTATTATATTTTAATAATAGCAATAAGCTCAAGTGAGCTCAGTTGAATGGTAAATGGACCTGTACGCTGTACTTGTATAAGCGGCCTTTCTAGTCTTGCCCGACCACTCAAGAGCGCTTTTTACAGCCTAGTGCCACATTTCAGCACACATTCACACAGGCGATGGCAAAGTCCATCGAACAGAAACTAACTCATTTATACCATGATGCTATGGCATCGGGAGCAAATTTGGGGTTCAGTATCTTGCCTCAAGGATACTTCGACACGTGGCAGGAGGAGTCGGGGATCGAACCAACAACCTTCTGATTGGGGGACGACCCGCTCTGCCTCTGAGCCACAGCCGCCCAGTTGAAAGCCAGGTAAGATGAGGTCTGGTTGGTCTACAGAAACTCTTGTCTCTGTTTCAGCCAGGTGGTTACAACTTGTTAAAAGGAACCTGAACGCCATTACCTTACTACATTTTTTTTAGATTTTAGATACAAAGATTCTGTGAAGAATCTGTCAGTACATGGTTGAAGTGCAGGCTCATTTGGATGCGTTATTATGCGTTATATATTTATTGAAAGTGTTGCAGTCATTTTTTACTGTGTTTTTGTGTTTGTAGCTTTTATTATTGCAGCAGAAGTTGCAGGCTGAGCTGCCTGATGATGCTATGGTGGTAGCTGGTCGTTTTCCCTTCCCTGACTGGACACCCTGCAGGATTGAAGGACATGGTGTGGACAGAGCCTGGGCATATAGCATGCAAGCACAAAGACAGCACATCCTCAAGAAAAATGATAAGCTCACAGTCACTGATAGCAACAATGAAGTAACCAATGAGAAAGAAACCATTTGAAGCTACATGGATGTCTTTTCCCCTCTAAAATGGTGACATGGCACTATACTGTATATGACTGACTTACTCCTGATCCTTCACTGGAATATGGAGAATGTTTAACATAACTTGACTGTCTGTCAGACTACATCCAGTTGTAGATGTTGTCAAAAAAGTATTCAAACTACTTTACTGTGGCCCTGAAATGACAGGGATCAGAAAACATGTAGGTTTTTGCACAAATGCCAATTTTCTGCTCTTTTGATGGAGGGGATCCTTCATAATGCTTTCTGTAACCACACCTTTACCTCCAGAATACTATAAATGTTTTAGGGATTACCTACCTTTTTAAATGTTGTTTTAAATGCCAAACAACTGATTATTTACTTATTTTCTTATATTGATTGTTATTTGTTAGTACTTGTTGTCCTTGAGCAAGGCACCTAACCCCTAACTGATCCTGGAGTGTCTCTACGTAGCAGCCCATCACTCCACCTGTATGTGCACTATTATTATTATTATTTTGGGCCTGTGTGTGTGTGTGTGTGTGTGTAAAACATTAAGGGGGAAAATAATTTCCTCATTAGGGATTAATAAAGTATATCTTCTTCCTCTTCTATTTCTTATGCGGGCCTACATATAATTAGACAACTTCATAGGAAATTTTGAAAGGAGGAACTAAAAGTTTAAAAGCTTTGTGGGTTTGGTCAAAGGCACTTAGTGCTGTGGAAATGTCTTTGTGTCAGCAGCTGTGGATTGTGACTCATCAGGCTCTGGATGTCAAAAGTGACTCGTGTTTTTTTGTTTTGTTTTTTAATCTCACCGCCAGATTGTAAATTCTCTTCATGTTCTACAGCAGTATGACATAGTTACCTCTGTATACATTTTTTTGGGTGTGTGTGTGTGTAAATTATTATCCAGTCAGTTTGTTATTGGCTGTTGCCAAAAAATCTCTTTATTCTCTTGAATTGTATGTTTTTACTTTGCTGCTATAGTTTCTGCAATAAAAGTAATTGCTCTAATCTCTATATGGACTATAAATTGCCCTTTCTTGAGCATCATGTGCTGGACACTTAATTTGTCACCTTAACTGAAGTAATGTGTTTATTATCTGGGGAAACACCACTATGGCTGACATTAGTCAGTGGGTCACGTTGATGGTGGCCTAAGCAAAACAAACAATATGTTTTACAGTGACTAAAACCTGTACTTTTGTAAGCAGTCACAGATATTGTTCATAATAAATAATGCAAACAAAATGATGTGTTTACACAATCCAGGATAGCTTTAAACATAAACTGAATGATCTCTGTATACAACTACCAGTATTAAACTGGATGTTGTGTATCAGAAAAGGAGAAGTTAAGAGAGGAGAGAAATTTAAATATCCCCATAAAGCGAGACTTCTTAAAATTGTGCAGTGTTGCTTGGAAAGTCCTGCAGATAATAAATCAGTAATGAGGTGAAGTACTGCAGATGGGTCCAAGGAGAGAAAACCAGCCATATTATATGTATCTCTTTAAGAGGCAGTGCATGCTTCCACCCTGTCTCATACTGTTTATTCTTTTGTCTCTTTCTGTTTATGTAACGTTATTCCATTGTAAGTCAGACATTTCTGTATGTCCCTTTATGGGCTTGATCTAATCTAGAAGAAATACAATAAATGAACACTGTGCATATCAGTACCATATAACATGAACTCCACACACTTTCTTCAATTTATAACTCGTTGCTGACACTGATATTCAGTGTTACTCAAGAACATTGTGTTTAGTATTTAGCTATATATATATATATAATGCTACTAATTGTGCCGTAGTTTGAAAGATATAACCGGGGGTCGTGCTTTTATTATTGTGACTGACTTGACACCAGCAGCTTGGGTTGGTTGATGCAGCAGCGAAAGAGGAAGTTGCGAAGCGAACCCTGTAACTAGCAGGCTAGCTGTAATCTTGAGCCGCCCTAAGCATTGAAAAAGGGGAATAACAGGAACAAGCGCGCATAGTATTATATGTTTAGTGTTACTACAGATGTGTCAGATATATAAGTTAGGTGTGCATATCCACCCGCTTTGAAAGTACAAACGGTAAATGCACGTTTCGTGAGCAGCAGTCAGAGAAGCATGTCAACGTTTGACAGCTAACAAAGCTAACGAGAATGATATCTTCATCCTTCTAGAAAGGCTAGCGAGTTAGCCATCCGCTGCAGCCTGAGCAACTGGGTAACCTAGCCTCGAAACGCTTCACAGAGAAAGCTCATTAACGGTTCACGGTTGTCCGGGGCTGAAGCCAGTGTTAGATGTGCCATAAAAGAAACAAGGATTTCTATATTTAACATAACGGTGAAGGGAATTACACGACAATACAGCTGAGCTACCAACTCGAGATAGCTGACTCAATGTTGAGCCTATGTGCTTGGTAATCGAAAACGCGTTTTATTTGTGCAAGGTAAAATCAACTCAGTGTTTAACGTTGTTATTGTATTCAAAGTTAACGACACCGAGCTTCGCTATTAGCTGTGTGTGAGTGAGTATCGACC